TTTAAAGGAAATTTATTGGCTCACTCAACTTGGAAACCAGTCCAAAGAGTACATCTGCAGGTGCAGCTCTATCAAGGGGTTCAGACTATGATGTTAGACCTTGGTTTTTCTTCATCATCCTGCTTCTTCTTCCTCTAACCTGGCTTCATTCTCTACCAGACTCTGCACTTGGTGGATTCTAGAAACTTCAGTTTACTGTGGACGTTACAGCTCAGCAGCTGAAAAGGACACCCTTTCCCCCTCAAGTGCCCATTAACAATACTCTCACCAAATATCTCTGATTGGCCCTTCTTGAGTTATGTGCCCACCCCCACACCAATTTACTGGAGCCAAAGGTTTAGGTTGGTGGACGAGCCTGGGTCACATGCCTGCCCTTATGGTGGGAGTTGGGGTCCCTTGAATCACTGTCCTACCAAAATCCCACCCAAAAATGCAGGGCAGGCAAAAGAGTAAGCAACTTCACACTACAAGCATATTGAGGTCTCCCTATCTTCAACCTGCAAATTCGCTCCCCATCTCTTCCTTCCTTCTGCTTCTTACTTCTTGATGTGGATTTTTGAGCTGGGTGTTGCACCAGGACTCAGAAACACCCATCTAGTTCTGCCATGGCCACCCACGATCCCAGATATCCCAAAGGAAGATACTGTCCTTCAAGACAAATCAGTAGAGAAACACGTTATTTTGAGCCATTCCAGAGCAAGTATCCTGGATAAAACCCCTGAGAGGAGCACAGTGCGTGAGCTAGACCAGGGACTTTTACAGCAGGAGGGACCACCTCCCCCCCCCGACTCCCCCTCAGAGCTGTTTGCATGGAATTTCTCTTTCTCAGAATTACACCATCCAGAAGGACATTCCAGAACATGGTCTTTATCACCAGTATAATAAAACTGATGAAATCTAATGTTCCATTCCAATAATATAAACTTTATTTGTAGGCCTTTTATTGGCTCTTTATGTAATAAGAGAAAACATATTTTCACTGGTTACTTTTCCTAATCCCTCTCTCTTATCCTGAGTCTTGTGAGGACGGCCCCTTTCCCTGCTGACAACATTGGGAAAATACAGAAAGGGAAGAGAGAAAGAGGAGTGGGTGGAGTTTTGCATGTGATGCTATTTAGGCAGGTATGAAAGTCACCTCACATCCTGCCCTTGAGCGGGACAGCAGTGATGAAGAGGGAGAAAAACTTTCTTCCAGGAGTCCTGTTGTTAAAGCACCTTTTCATCACAGCTTTCCCCACGAATCAACAAATTGTGGAGGCATTGGGGGCTTCGCTCTGCCCTTAGCTGTTACTGGTTTCTTACAATAAAACAGGGACATCAGTTACTGTGCAGACACGATCAAGGTATGAAGACATTTTTGTATGTCATTTTTATATGTCATTTTGTCTCTTCTGTTTTCTGAACAATGATATGCATTGTTCTAGAAATGAAATACATTTGAACCGTATTAATACTTTCAAGTAACTTAATCTCTTCTGGCTTAAAACAGGGTCTCCCAGATGCGTATGCAGTTGAATTCAAGTTTCTCCCCCTTCCCCCTTCTCTTTTCCCTAGTCCTTCCTTCAGGATCTAGGTTCCTAGGAGCTGGTATATTTTCCTGGCACTGGAGAAAGGGTGTTTGTCTCATCGTCCAGGTGAGATTTCCTGTCCTCACTTCAGCCCCAGCTCAAGGGTGCGCCCCTCACCCCCAGTGGCCTCTGCTGCTGTGTTCCCCCCACCCACCTATGGGCACCCTGTTTTTTTATTCCTAGCACTCTTTCCTACTCTCCCTAGGAGATCAGCAACTTTTCCACACCTTTCCACTCCTACCCAAAGCCAAGGGAGTTGTGATGGGTGCTATGGTCTGAATGTTTTTGTCCCCCCTAAATTCATATATTGAAATCTAATCCCCAATAGGATTGTATCAAGAAGTGGGGCTTTGAGGAGGTAAGGTAATTAGATCGTGAGGGTGGAACCCTCATGAATGGGATTAGTGCCCTTATAAAACAGGCTTGAGGGCTGGCCGGTTAGCTCACTGGGTTAGAACATGGTGCTGATAACACCAAGGTCAAGGGTTCAGATCCCCCACACCAACCAGCGGCCAAGAAAAAAGAGGCTTGAGGAAGCTCATTCACCCTTTTGTCCACGTGAGGACACATAGAAGACTCCAAATCTGAATGCACTTTGACCATGGACTTCCTAGCCTCCAGAACTGCGAGAAATAAATTGCTGTTGTTTAGAGGATACCCAGTCTACAGTATTTGTTATAGCAGCCTGAGAGATCTAAGGCAATGGGGATGGCCGTCAGAGGTTGTCAGTCTTTCTCTGGCCAAATAGGCCATGCCGTGGCTTATTTTCTCTCCAAGTAACCCCAAACTAGGTGGAATCACTCCTGTGGGGAACTAGATATGAGCTTCTCTGTTCTGGGATTCTCAGACCCAACTGGGTCTTGATTCAGCATTCTCCCTATACCTCATAGTGTTTTCAACCCCGGGAAGCCACAGAACAGAAAGGAGGTCCCACACTCCTGTCCCACCTCTCTTGATGTCTCCAGCTCTCTCCCACTGTCTTTGAAGGGCTTTTCCTGCTCCTTCTGTAGCCTGATCACATGTCCAGCAGCCTGCTTACTCTGTGGCTTAGAGCAATGGTTCTCAAACACGTATGCCTCACCTGGAGGGCTGGTGACAACATAGGTTGCCAGTTCCACCCCCAGCGTTCCTGATTCAGTAGGTGTGGTCAGTAGAAAAACGGTCCTTCACAATGATAATGGCGCTTGTAAGACCCGTGCACCATGCACAAATTCCACACACACCAGGATGGCTCACCTCACAAAGACCATGAGACTGAGACCACTGCAATCAAGCAAGAGGTTTTTATTTCCAGCATGCTGGGGTCACTCCGTCTTCAGGACAGAAACGGCCCTGAGCTCTTAACTCAAGCATCTTTTATACAGTTTGGTAGGCAGACTTTGGTAACAGGCTGAGTTGTATGCCGTTTATTGGCCACTTTAAGCAATTTTTAAAACCATTGGGCTTTTAGCTTTTGGCAGGCAAAGGAAGGACTGAGGTATTGACCAACGTTCTCCTCTTCCCCCCGGCCCCCCCCCCCCGGGTAGTTACAGATAAGGAACTGGTCATGCTGTTCCTGGAATTGGGTAAGCATACTCCCTTCCTGGAACAGTGTGAACTTTGGGCTCTTTGGAAAGTCCCTTCCCCCTGACAGCGGAAAGTCCTAATCTTCTGGCGACGGAAAGTCTCAAGCACCTGGTAACGGAAAGTCCTAAGTATCTGGTATTGTTTACCAAAAAGGTTGGGGGTTATCTCTACCTCTACACGCACTGATCCTTGTAATATGTAAAGCCATAAAATGTACTATGTTCTCCTGGATTACCAGGTAGGCCCAATGTCATAAGAAGGGTCCTTATAAGAGGGAGGTAGGAGGGTCAGAATCAGGGAAGGAGACGTGATGATGGAAGCAGAGGCTGGAGTGATGCAGCCCCAAGCAAAGGAATGCAGGCCTTTGGAAGCTGGAAAAGGCAGAAGGAACACAGCTCTGCTGACGACTTGGTTTTAGCCCTGTTAGGCCCATTTCAGAATTCTTACCTCCAGAATAGTAAAGGAATAAATTTATGTTGTTTTTAGCTGCTAAGTGTGTGGATTTGTTACAGTAGCCATGGGAACCTAACACAGGACTGGGATGGCTCCTGAGAAACCATATTTCTAATAGGTTCTCAGGTGATGCTGATACTTCAGGTCCAGGAACTATACTTTGAGAACCACTGGCTGCTAGTGAAGCATACAATCCTGTGTTCTTCCAAACTTTGGACTGCAGGTTAAACAAACTATTTGCTTTCTCAACAACACTTGAATCCAGCAAATGAAAGCTTCGGCTCTGGCAACTGTTATCTCCAGAAAATGCCCATTATGGAAATCAACACTTAAACCTTGATTTTTTTTTTCTGTTATGCCCTGAAGCAATGGTGAATAACCACTGGGCAGTCAGCATGACCAGCCATTGAAAATTCATATTCCATAAATATTTATGTTAATATATTGTTATTACTTTCTTTGGGGGAAAATCGCAGAGCCCCGTTATTTTATCTATTCTCCCAACATCTCCATGGAAAATAGAAAAGAGCCTCCACATTCTAGAAAGGAAACAGAACAAATGGAAGCTCACAATGAGCAAGGTGTTCTGGTTCCCCATGTGCACACTTGGCTCACCAGCCCCTCCCCTTTTGCCACGCCCTGCTGAACTTGGCCACACCCCTATTAGTATCTGACATTGCTCCCCTGGATGGGGCTCCTCCAGGTAATAATGCTGTCTTTTCCATCCTAGGATGCTCAGATGCAGGTGACAGTGATGGTTACTTTGAACACCAAACCAGCCAGCCACATGCCCTAGGTCTGCAGGAGGCCTCTGGGGCTTGCTTAAGATAGGAGACCTCATCCTGTTATCTCCTGGTAGAGGAAGGGAGAGGGGACACACAGAGCCCGGGTGATCTACAATGAATCCAACACCTTCGATGTAGCAGTTTACGGATTATCAATGCACAGTGAGAAAGGCCTTGGGGATCAATTGGACGGCTGCCCTTGCCATGTCCGCCTCCTCCTCTCCCTTCCCCCTCTCTCTTTCCCTTCAGCTCTCCCTTTCTGATCCTCCTCTCTTGGCAGGCAGTGGAGTCCAACCTGGATTTGAATTCAGGCTCTGTCTTTTACCAGCTTTGTGACAATGAACCTGTCTGATCCTAATTCCCTCACCTATTAACTAGGGGTGAAGACATCTACCGTGGTTTTCTAATGAAAACTAGAGAATATCTGAAATGTAGCCCGTGCACAGTAGGTACTCAGTCCTCCCCATTGTGTGCGTTTCTACTCTCTAGCCTTCTCACCACTAAGTCCTATTCGACCAACAAATTTCACAGGGAATGCAAAGTAGAAAACAACTTTAATGGGAAGCTCGCAGTTTCCCTTTTATTCCAAGATTATAACATTTCCTACTGCTTTGGGGTCTTCGGCTGCCTACATGGCCTTATTCTTCAATTTAGGCATGCTTAGAGCTCTGGGCTTGAGATTTCCTGAGCTAAACATATTTTCTGTAACGTAATCAAATAGGCTGGTAGGGGAAAGGGAGACAAAGCAGAGCATCAGGTAAGACGGTCTTCCTGGCGCATAAAAGGCAGAGGGGCTCTTAGCGCGGACAGCATGATGGACATCCCGGAGCACTGGGGAGATATCCGTTCTGGAGCACTTGTCAATGTAGCCAAGCAGGTTCCTCTGCGCCAGGATATAGTCCTGGCCGTAGTCTTCCTGCACTTCAGGACTCAGGTGGTCCAGTAAGTTCTTCTCCTGCTTGTCCCACATGTCAATCGTGCCTGCAATACCTGGGACACAAGAGGAAAGGAGGGGTCAGGTGCTGGGAAGGCCCAGCCAAGTCAGAGAAGCAGGCAGTTGTGAATTGACCTCTGTTCGGAAGGATGGGCATTTACAAATGCCTTTTAAAATATGCGCTTTATAGTGGCAATTTTGTCAATTTTAAACCTACACACTGAAAAGTGCACTGATGACTGCATTTTCACAAACTGAACAGCCAGTGTAACCAGCAAACACATCAAGAACAGAACAGGTCCAGCCTTGAAGTCTCCCCTCTCTGACCCCTTCCCAGTAGCCACAGCCCTGATTAACAGGATAGATGAGTTTTGCCTGGTTTTGACCATTACGTAAATGGAATTATAGGGTACTTACTCTTTTGCATCAATTTCTTTACACAACATTGTGTTTGTGAGATTCGTCCATGTATCATGTGTTCATTCTCCTTGGTGCATAGTTTTCCATGGTATAAACATGCTGTAAATTATTTACCCATTGTACTGTGATGGGCATTTCAATTTGTTTCAATTTGGGGCTCTTATAAATACTGTTGCCACAAACATTCTAGTGCATGTATTTTGGAGACTATTCTGTGTACAACATATAATGTCTACAGTATAATATATACTATATATATATACGTACATATATATATATATACAGTCATACGTGGCTTAACAATGGAAATACATTCTGGGAACTGTTAGGCAAATCCGTTGTTGTGGGAACACCGTAGAGTGCACTTACACAAACCCAGATGGCATAGCCTACTACACATTAGGCCATATGGCATAGTCGTATATGCAGTCCCTCATTGACCCAAATGTCGTATGCAGTGCATGGCTGTACACACACATATATACATATACAGTTTTTTAATATAGAAGTTATGCCTGCTTCTATATTTAAAATTAAACACATAACTTTAAATATTTTATCTATATAATAAACATAATTTTAAAATATATATATTACATGTAATTTTAATATAATTTAAATATAAATTTTAATTTTAATATATGAACTACATATGATTAAATCTATCTGTTTTTAATACAGAGGCAATGCCTACTTATTATATAAAATTAAGTAATATATATTTACTTTAAAATATACCAGCAATGCCAGCTCATTATATAAAGTGAATAAGGAGATGTACACATTTTTAAAATTTATCTCCTCTGAGGTCATTAACAGTTTTGTGTATACTCTTCTACATTTCTTCCTTGTTCCTACAAACATATATATATATACACAGAAGGCTTTGGTTTAATTTTATTTTGCCAGGAAGATAAAAAAAAAGGATTTTAATAAACATATTTTCCAGGAGCTTGCTTTTTTTATTATTTTGCTTGGTAATAAGTCAAAGACCTCCCTCCTGGTCAGTGGCTATAGATTTAAATAAGAGCCACACAATTTTCCACTGAACAGCGTCTAGTCGACCGTTTTCCTTTCGACCGACTTTCCAGTAGTTCCTTGGTTTCCTCATTACAAGCAATGCTGAATTGCACAGTGTATCCATTTGTATTTCAGCTTTATTTCTATAGGCAAAATTCCCCAAAGTGCTGCCTGGCCAAGAGGCACGTGCATTTTGAATTTTAACAAGAACTGCTAGATTACATTCCAAACAGGTTGCTGCCACTCACGGTCCCTCCTGCAAAGTGCACGATCGCCTGGGGATAGCTGTGGGGATTGGCCTCGGTTTGCTAGCTCAGGTCACTCCTGGGTGTCAGGACAGTGGGGAGTCTGGTGTGATATGTGAGCCCGTGAAATCCAATTATACTCCTGGAAACACAAATGGCATTTCAAGCGCTCGCTCGTTTCTTTTCATGAAGGCACAACACCTCACTTAAGGAAACGGTTACCCTGACAATTACTCTGGAGGCTTCTGGGTCTTCAGAAACATGTCTGTGTGAGCCGCTCTCCCTCCCGCTACCTCTCCACATCTCTGCCTTCACAGGCTGGGGGGTCCTTGTCCTCTATACCGCCTCCCTCTCTAAGCACCTCATGGACTTTCTGACCACTCTTGTAGGTCCCCTGTCCAGAGTCCCCAAAACTCTCTTTGTGGGTGACAAAGCCATCAGCCTTTATCAATCATCATCTGCCACTTTGGACACATACAACCCACCAGTGGCCACTTTGGAGCTAGATACAAATGAAGATGTTAATGTGACTTGGATCAAAATCCCATCTCTGCCTCATACCAGCCCTATGGCTTGGGGAGCTCCTTAACTCCTCTGAGCCTCAGTTTTCTCACTGAAAGACAGGGATATTATGATACCTACTTCATAGGTGAGGATCAAGCAAGATAATGCACAGAAAGTGATTAAAAATCTGCTAAGCATGCAACATGTTTTAGCTATTCTTATTGTAGGGCACTAAAACAATCTGGTAAGTCTCTTTGAATGCCTTCAGAAGGCCCTTGTCTGTGTTCCTGAAGATTCTTTTTCTTGCCCCCACCTTCAATTAAATATAAATATGAAACATTATTCTCCAAACTTGAGTTCCCTACCCTCTGCTATCTGGCCTCTTGCCTTCAGAGAGTTCATCAAATGGCTTTAAACTGGGGGTGGGCTGGTATAAAAGAAAGAACCCAGGCAGTGCACTTAGGGATCTGGTTTCAAATCCCCCACTGTCATGGTGTGCCAGACTCCCACCCTGGGACGTGTTACCCACGTACCAAAATCATGTCAATTAAACCTACCACTCAGAGTTGTGGTGAATATTAAAACATATGTAGAAAGGGTGGGATTATAAATTGAAACACTGTTCTAGAAAACAGATTGGTATTACCGAATAAAGCTGAAGATAGATAAACTCTATGATCCAGTCAATCCACTCCTGGGTATGTGTCACTGGAAAAGTTATGTACATAAAAACCACAGTACGTATACTAGAAAGCACATTGCTGCATTGGTCGTAATTGTCCCAAACTAGAATTGACACAAACATCCCATCACAATAGAAAAATTGCAGCATGTTCACAGAATACTACATGGCAATGAAAGCAAATTAACTTCAGTTACACACAACATAGAAGAATTGTAAAATTATAATGTTGAGTAAAAGAAGCCAGACACAAAAAAATACTTACGAGGGTACTTCAACAAATTTGTGGAAAGATTCACATTATCTTTTGATTCTATTTTTCCACGAACTTGTTGGAGTACCCTCATACATACTCATAATGATTTCATTCAAAGTTCAAAACCGGGTAAAACCAAACTCTATTGTTTGGGGATGTGTGTATGGATGTAACACTGTAAAGAAAAGCAAATAAATGATCATTACAGAAAGTGTTTATCTATTGGGGGATGGGAGAGGATCATATGGGGGCTTCTGGGTGCTGGTAAGGTTTTATTTTTTGATCTGGGTGTTCAGTACATGAGTGTTTATAATAACTTGTTAAACTATGTGTGTGTGGTGCATTTTTTGCATAAATGGTATATTTATTGATTTCAAAAAATAAGATCAACAACCTCGGGAAAGAATTATAGAACGTGGGTAGCCTAGTGCCTGATAAAAACACCTCTCCAGAAATATTACCTATAACAATGATACTGAATCCTTAAAACCATATCTTAACCACATGGTCATCAGGAGACCTGGGTTCTAACCCAGCATGGTCTCTGCTTGCTTATGACTTATGACCCTACTCAATTCCTTTGTGGAAAACAGCAGGGGAGCAACCAAACATTGGCGAACCTGGCACTTGCCCCTTGGTTCTTAAATGAGGCCCCACCCCACACCTACCCCTCTTCGGTGGACACTGAGAATTGCAGAAATCTGGACATATGTCAACTCCATTCAAGAGACTTGACCAAACTCTAGCACAGCTTCTAGCAGCATAAGGTCCTGTGCTTAGGATGACACCAGCCCCTCATTAAAATGCCTACCTAGAAAGGCTCAATGCTGCCAGGAAAATTTAGTGTTTGTTCTAGCCAATGCACCCCTGATGATAGGGCCCTGACCTTCCTTCATGGAACATTCACTAAAAAAGACTTACAATTTTAAATATGTATCTCTTGCAACTCAAAGCATTTCTCGCAAGGACCAGAGAGCCATTTTTTTTAATGGAATCATCAAAAAGGACAGGGCCTCTGTCTCGCAGTTTCTTGGGAAGATGGAATCCTAACTTCAATGGCTGCCAGCTCATAGACCCCATGTCACCGACACTGACCGACCCTTTGTACCTTTTCACTTCAACTCTACTGAGCCCCGGTCTCCCCCCTCCCTCATTCTCCCTTGAACATGCCCAAATCGCCTCCGCATAAACCAGAATGGAGCTCAGCTCTTTCCCCTACTGTCAGTAGTTACTGAATAAAACCTGTTTTTACCATTTTAACTAATGTCTGGCTGTGTTCATCTTTGACAACACCGAGGGGTTCAATTTGTGCTCTATGAGACCAAAAGGACCTTCAAGATCCCTTCCAGGATGGACATTGCAGGGCTCTTAAACTTAGATACCTACCCGTTCGAAAGCCTCCGGGTTGGATGACAGAGACTTTAATTTCCCATTTGGAAAGCTCCTGTCTCATAACTGATGAAAACATGGTCAGAGCTGCCTTCGATGAGCTATAGGCTGCCAACTTTTTTAATGGGACGCCCCCTGTGGGAATAATGGGAGAAAAAAAATCAAGTCTTGTATTTATATCTGTTGATCCAATAAATATCTAATCAGCCCCTACTGCATGCCAGGAACTGGTATCAGTGGTGATGAGGTAGACAAAGGCAGCCCAGGGCCCTCTGTACCAGGTGAGTGCCTGTTCTTGGTCACTCCCATTCTGTGGCTTCATCTGCTTCTGCCTTTCCTGGTTCCTCCATCACAGCTGGTACAATGACAAACCAAGTTTAAGGGTCAATCTTACCCAATTTTTAAGTGAAATGTGATTTAGGTGGGATAAAGACCACCTGACCACCAGCCCCCAACCTTCCAGCATGATCAACCTGCACTCAGAGGTTCCAGGTGGATATAGCTTTGGGGTGGGGGGAACATTTGCACAACTGTTCAGGGGTGGGAGGAGAAACTCCAGTATCCCTTGCTTTGATCTTTTCATGCATCCTGGTTTCACTGACTTTACAAGCCTTTGGTGATTTTCACCAAATCAAACATGGCTTTTGTGCATGTGTTTGTCCTTGTTCTCCTGCTTTCACAATGGATTCCTTTGTATGTCTGTTCATCAATTTTCAACTAATTCCTTTTCCCTGCCTAAGTCCCTTTTACTCTTCTAGTTAGGCATCCTTCATCCATGGGAGAATAGCTTCTTAACCCTGAGATCTCTTGCCTGAGTCCTACCTTCACTCAAAAGTTAAATTTTTCAGCATCAGCACTTGAAATGACAAAATATGGCTCCTATCCACATCTAACATTTATTAAAGCTCATTTTTTAAGGGAGACCTAAATCATCACTTCACAGTTTGTCAAGGGTAGAACAGACCCTTGTTTCTAGAGAGGCTTTCAGCTGTCTCTTCCTGGACTCCCATAAAACATTGAGCTCATTTCTTCACACAGAGGGAGCATGGGTTCAAGGACCACAGTGCTTTACCTAGCTCTGGTTTTTTAAAAGACCATCTTAGTAGAGCTATCAGCCATTTCCAAGCACTTAATGAAACTGTGCCTTGAATTTGGCTGTCTAGCCTCAATTATTTGAAAGCCACGCAACATAATTAGAAAGAACATGGGACGTTAAAGTTGTATAAAACCAACTACACACATACAAATAAAACTGGGGAAATCAGAATAAGATTGGTAGAGTGTATCAATGTCCATATTCTGTATTATAGTTTTGCAATATCTTAACCCCTGGGATAAACTAGGTAAAGGACACACAAGATCTCTCTTATTCCTTACAACTTCAGGTAAATCTACAATTATCTCAATACAAATTTTACTTTTTTAAAAAAGAGCATGGGCATTGAAGTATAGGTGCCTGGAATACTTCATGTTATCTATCATCTTTATTCTTACATTATCATTAAAGTTTTGGTCCGACGCAGATGATTTCCTTTTAAAACATACCTATCCTCATCTCCCTTTCTAGGAAGGCTGTCAGTCAATGATTCTGTTCTTCTCACTGAGTCATCCAGATTGGCCAGTCATAATACTCCACCGCCTAGACATGGAGATTGGGTTGGGGGTGGGCATGTGACCCAAATTTAGCCAGAGTCCTTCTTTGAAACTGATAAGGATGGTGAAGAAGAGATGGTTTTATTATTTCTAGCTACTTAGGTGTATTGTCACACCATTATCAATAGAAGACTGGAGCTCTTGGGGGCTATTTTCACTACAGCATAGGAAAAGGTAAGCAGAGAAAATCACGCAGGAGAAGAGAGGGCAGGAGTGTTGGAGGAGAAAGCGGAAATTGGAGGTGGGGGGAAATTACAATGACTTCATCTTAAAACTTGGTCCCAGCCAACTGGTGAGCTAATAAATTTCTCTTCCATTTTTGGTTTATGCTCATTTGAGCTTTGACCCTGTTGCTTAAAACAGAGTCCCAAAGCTTAACTGATGTAATTTCAACACAACATTGGCACCAAACAGTCTGTCATTAAACTAGTTCCCATCTTGGCACAAATGACCAACTGATTTTTATTTAAGTGACTTTTAGTTTCTCAAACTCTTAGCGTTTGAAATCCAACTTCTTCCTTTCACTGGTGAGAAAGGCCAACAAAATTAATGCAACTTGTTCAAAGTCACACTGTTGGTTGTGTGGCAACCCCAGTTTGGGGGATTAGAGTGAGTTCTTACTTCTCCATGATTGTTATAGATGATGTAGGTTGGCCAACTAGAAGGCAGTTAGCAGAGGGCAGTGGTCAAGATCTGCATTCTGGAGCCAACACTGCCTGTTTTCAAATCCCAGCTCTGCCATTGGTTAGCCACCTGTTCTCAGGAAAGTCACTGTATGTTTATGTGCCTCTGCCTTTTAATCTGTGAGCTAAGAATAATAATAGCACATGCATTAGGAGGTTATTGTGAAAACTAATTGAACCAGTATATCAGAATAGTGCCTGGCACAAAGTAAGCTCTGTATAAGGGCTTTCTATTACTAGTGCTACTCAAGTTTTCACAATAATATCTTAGCCCCAAAGGCCCCATATGTTCAATGTTTCTCAGAGTAATAGTACGCCTGCTTTAGAATCTCTAGCAGCACCTGTTTATAATGTGGATTACTAGGATTTACCCTAGAACTACTAAATCATAATCTGCCTTTAAAACTAATCCAGGTGATTCTTTTGAATACTAAATCTTGAACTATTAGGCTTTTTTGTCACATATTTCTGAACATGAGACTTCATGGTGATGTACTGCTTCATGTATGATTTAAGTTGCTCTGGTTTGAATGTGTCCCCCGAAAAGCATGTGTCAGAAACTGAATCCCCCACCACCACACAAAAAAGAAACCTAATCTCCAATATACAAGTGCTGGGAGGTGGGAGCCTAAATTTAAGTTGCTCTGGTTTGAATGTGTCCCCCGAAAAGCATGTGTCAGAAACTGAATCCCCCCACCACCACACAAAAAAGAAACCTAATCTCCAATATACAAGTGCTGGGAGGTGGGAGCCTACTGAGAGGTGATTAGGCCATGAGGGTGAGTGAATGGATTAATGCCATTATCATGTGAGTGGGTTCATTATAAAAGGGGGAGTTTGACCCCCTTTCATTCGTTCTTCCACCTTCCATCACATTGTGATGCAGCAAGAAGGCCCTCACCAGATGCAGCCCCTGAATCTTGGACTTCCCAGCCTCTAGAACCGTGAGCCAATAAATCACTGTTCATTATAAATTACCTAGATATTCTGTTATAGCAGCACAAAATGAACTTAGACAATAAATATGATGTATGAATTATGGTGAGACTAGATCATATCCCACATTGTCAATCTAAATAAAAACATGCTTTGGACCAAACATTTAAGACACATTGTCTTTTGTATTACATCAAATCCTGCAAAGTTGCCAAAATCAGACCATTTCTTACCTAAAACATGGCAGTATTGTAGAAACATGCTTTGGACCAAACATTTAAGACACATTGTCTTTTGTATTACATCAAATCCTGCAAAATTGCCAAAATCAGACCATTTCTTACCTAAAACATGGCAGTATTGTAGAGTTCAACCTCATAGATCTACCTTGCAGTTAACATTTTATATCAGTGTTTAAGATCCCTGATGGCATTAGTCCATTCATGCAGAAATGAGTTATCATGGGTATGGACTGGTGGCTTTATAAGGAGAGCACATGAGAGAGCTCTTGCCATCCTTACCATGTGATTGCCTATTCACCCTGGGACCCTGTGGACAGCTCCCACCCAGAAGAAGGCCCTCACCAGATACACCCCTGGACCAAGGACTTCCCAGCCTCTGAAACGGTAAGAAATAATTTTTTTCTTTCTAAATTATCCAGTTTCAGGTATTCTGTTATAAGCAACAGAAAACAGACTTACACAATGTCTGAGGCTATCACCCTCTAATAACCTCATCCCTCTCTCTCAGCCCTAGGAACAACTAATCTGCTTTCCGACCCTATGGATTTGCCTATTCTGGACATTTTATATAAATGGAATCACACAATATGTGGCCTTTTATGTCTGTCTTCTTTCACTTAGCATAATGTTTTCAAGATCCATCCACATTGTAGCAAGTATCAGTACTTCATCAATTTTTAAGCCTGACAAATATTGTACGAATATGCCACATTTTATTTATCAAATGACTCACTGATGAATATTTGGGTCGTTTCCACCTTTGGCTATTATGAATAATGCTACTATTCACATCTGTGTACAGGTTTTTGTTTAGACACCTGTTTTCTATTCTCTTGGGTATATACCCAGGAGTGGAATTGCTGGATCACATAGTAATTCTATGTTTAACTTATCACGGAGCAACTATAAAATGTTTTCCACAGCAGCTGCATCATTTCATATTCCCACCAGCAGTATATGAGGGTTCCAATTTCCCTATATCCTCACCAACATGTACTATTTTCTGTTTTGTTTTGTTTCTTATGATAGCCATCTTAGTGGCTGTGTTATCTTATTATGGTTTTGATTTTCAGCAACTGTGTTTTTAGTAGCCCTCCTGGTGATTCTGATGCAGTTGAAACTTCCAAGTATGGTCCAGGGACCAGTAGCACCAACATCACTTAGGAACTAGTTAAAAAAACGAAGAATCTTAGGCCCCACCTAGACAAACTCAGTCAGATTCTGAATTTTAATAAGATTCTCAGGTGATTCCCACACATGCTAGCATTTGAGAAGCACAGGTGTGGGAGACAGCCCTAAATTGCTAATACTTCCTATTCATCGTTTAAACAGACCAGAGTTAAGGTTTGTATTTTCATGCCCCCTGCTTGCCTGGAAAAGTAGGAAGAACACAGAAGCTGGAGGAATACAGACAGACCTGGTTTCAAACCCTGACTCTACCACTTACCAGCTAGAGAGTGCTTGATCTAGGAAATTAACTAATATCTGCATCCCGAAGATGTTAGAATTAAATGATTTTAGGCATGTAAACATCTAACACAACTCAGTATGGAGAAGTTCCCTCAGTCTCTCTCTAACCCTTTCTCTTCACCCACAATAACCCTGGAAGGTTTGGGGAAGA